TGCCGTATAGTATGAGCTCCCGGTGGCCGCCGAAGACACACCGCCGGAACTGTTGGGACACACATTCGACGCCAAACTTGTCCTCCAGAGGCAGATAACTGAGCAGTTCTTCGCACAGATCGTCGCCGAACCGATCCATACTGTCTTTGGCGTAGATTTTGGTCATATTTTTTGGTATAAGTATTAGAAATGTATAAATAAGTCAATAAATTAGTATAAAATTAATGAAATTAATGTATAATTATTTAATTATAATAAAATATTGGTTTAAAATTGTGTTAAAATAGGCATTAAAAGCGTGTAAAACAAGCGCTCAGTCGACGACCGGTTCCTTCACTGACTGTATGTGAAGTGAAATATCATTTTATTTTATTGTTATTTCATTTCAATAATTGGGACAAAATGTGAAGTTTTTTTTATGGAAATTTCTGGTGAAATATTTTTTGAATAATAATTTTTCCATTTATTATAAGTTCAGTACAAACATTGACCATAAGTTTCATACAATGTAATTCCTATGAATTTTCTATAGTATTTTAGTAATATTTAATGTGTTTAACATTATTTTATCACAAATAATAGCAATATAAGCCTATTTATATTAAAATACTACTAACTTTAGTTTAAATTAAACTAGTTTTGGTCAATATGATAATTTTCTCAATTATGACAATACGAATCATATTTAAAATGTTAACATTGATAGTATACTGTATTTATAAGTTTACATTACTTTATATTAAATAATTATTTTATAATAAAAATGACATGCTATCTTAGGAATAATAAATATTTAAAGTTTTAAATCTAGATAAAACCTACTGTTACTTATTTAGTCAAGTTTTATAAAAACTTAAATATTGATATAATTACTTTTATGTGAAATATTTTATTATTAAAAATGTATTTTACAAACCATACACTACTTAAGTTAATTATGGAAACAGTGTTTTAATTATTTTTAAATAAATTATAAACATTATCATTTATAAACATGGTTCAAATTCTAATTATTATTTACAAAATACGCAATCAATTCATACAATAAATAAATAATGAATAAAATGCTAATAAATAAAATAATATTGTATGAACAAGAACAAAATACTAAGGATAGCTTAACTTGACATAAGTAAAAAATTTTTAATAACCACGATTATTAAATTAACAAAAACTATCAAAATTAAGTTTCCTCATCCGAATGCACACTACCTGTGCTTTCATTCACCACTTCTGGACCATCACTGCCGATGATCAAGTCGTGTCCGCCATCACCAGCGCAGGTCCGCTGGTAATACTGACGGGCCATTCGCCGCAATCGGGCGGCCATTTGTTTGCCCGTATTGTCCACCAGTTTAGCGAAACTACTGTCCGGCCGTTGCAGCAAATCATATGCCATTCCCCACTCAACCAACTCACCGGCCTCTAACACCTATAGTACCCATAAATACCATGTTATATAAGACACAGTCTAGCGCCCACTCTATCCATACATACCATGATAACATCGGAGTCGATGATGGTATTGATCCTATGGGCGATCGTAATGACCGTACAATTGGCGAACTTATCCCTAATAGTTCGCTGTATGAGCGCATCCGTGCGGTGATCGACATTGGCTGTGGCCTCGTCGAGCACCAGTACCCTATTGTCGC